CCGTTTCCTCCCACGATGCTCACCAATAGAAGGTATTCTTGATTTCTTGGGACGACCAGGTGGTCTTTTCAAACAGGCTAGAGGCTAACATCGAACACTGGATAATAACATGATTCACGAGGGCAGAGACCGATAGCAGCAACCGCATGAACGCAGATAAAATGATTGAGTTGAAACACTTCACATGTGCATGTTCGAGTTTGAAGATCCACTACAAAGGAGCGGCAATGCCTATCAATGATGTGAGTTTTCTCGCACTTAACATAGATCGTAATATAGTGGTGTAAGTACGAGTATCGTCTCCACAGGGACGGACAAAAGGGAATCAAGAATTAATTAAATTCAGCGATTAAAAAGAAAATAAAATAAAAGCGTCGTGCGAGATTGGTTGGTTTGAAAAAAAAAAACTAATGCGAACAATTAAACTAGGGGGTTCTTTCTAATTAATGACGAAGGGAACCGGGATTGATTTCGGGGTAACCGGATTTCTGGCAGATCAGGCCTAATTACATGAAATTAATTTAATTGAGCCTAGCTAATCATTACTAAGTTCTTACCACTCTCGCGGCGTAGAGTACAATACTTTAGGGGACCAGGCTGATCTCTCATGCGACAGGATCCTAAATTATTGCCAAGACGAGCGAGCTTACGGCCCCTTAATCGCTACTAATCTCTTAGCGAACAATTAAGTGTGTGTGAATGTGTCCTAGAACAAATTAGATCTCTCTTAATTTATTCTACATGCAATTGTAATTCTAGTCGCGATTCTAGGTTACAAAAGATATCAATTAATTTATTCAAACACAAGTTAAACGGCATTCACGCAATTAAACCGACAAGAATCTAGCCATACATCATGATTAACCCCTTCATCAATCCCAAATCCCTAATTAAAACTACTCACAATTCATAATTGAAGAATCAATAGAATTGAAATAAAAAGAATTAATTGTCATTAATTAAAAAGGTGGAACTTACAAAGAATCCCAAAAGATTGATGAACAAGGCTGAAAAGTCCTCTAAAATTCGTGCTAGGCACTCTCTCTAAGCTCCCCCCTCAAAACGGGGGTTTACAGGCTGTTTAAATAGAAAAATCGGGTGAAATTTGAGCTGAATTAGGATTTTCGGAGCCAGGGACGACGCCAGGCACGATCGTGCCTTCGATCGTGCCTCCGGAGAAAAAACGCGCATTTTGGGCAGGCACGATCGTGCCTCCCTCCAAACACGATCGTGCCTGGATGGCAGTAACTCCGCGGTGCTTTTCTCTTCAGGCACGATCGTGTCTGACTTTGTGGGCACGATCGTGTCTACTTAACTTCCGAATTTGACAAAACTTCCTTCATGAAAGTTTTAGATAATGAAGTCCTCTATCCACCCCAATTTGCCGAATGGGATTTCAATCATCCAATCAAGAGATATGATCAAAACGGTGGAAGGTGTCTTTCTGAAATCGCAGCAGAGATCATCTGACTTCATCGTCTGTTTTCACCTTCTTCCTCTCAGATTCTCGCAAAGGTGTCTTCATATGATTTGTAGCCCTTGAAGTTAGATTTCCTATGGAACTTGAATCGTGTACATTGGATGTTTCTACAAAGAGATATGATTGAACGATTGACAGAAGGTCATCCTGATCGTCGTTTTCAAGCTTCATTCATCTTCTTTTGACCCCGTAGCCAATCCTAGAGCTCTTTTGTCATCAAATCTTCATCGTGAATCTTCCGGTGACCTCCAAAGCTATCAAATCATTCTCAAATGCTTCTCAAATCATCCCGATTGTTCCTCAAGTGCCGGTGCCGGGCTCAAATTCCTTGATTTTGACTACAAACAACACAAAACTCGAACCAACGCCCGGTAAACATAACTTGAGCTAAAATTGAGACTTGTAACACCTTAAAACTAGGAAAATCATCAAAAGCCGATCTCAACACGCATCAAATACGTGTCAAAATACGGACTTATCAATTAACAACTTCAAACTCAAAATATGATGTGGGCTTTACCTACAATATGATTACTGAGTGTAAATAAAATGCAAATGTGAAGTGAATTTGTAATGAAAGGAATGCTGGTAGGTATGCAATTGAGATATCAAATATGTGGCATAAATGCCAAGTATTTGGAAGTTTTCGTTGGTAATACATGTATGGAGAATGCACTGCAACACATGTTCAGATCACAAATATTAAATGACTGACCTTCAACTTTGCTGATTGGCTTTGAATATCAACCAGATGCTTCCCCCGTTTGTTTGTCAAAATAGTTTGATTATTTTCAGCGCTTTCCTTTCTTTCAACAAACCACTTTTTCATCATTTCCCTAATAAAGTCAATAACCTTGGCAATACAATACTCCCTAGTAGAATTGAAGCATTGATGTTGTTCATTGATTCGGCGCAATTTGAAGTCATAATCACATCATAACGGCTTGGACCAGACATACACTTTGCCCATTTGTGAATACCAATTTTTTCAAGCCAAGGGCATATACGAACATCTTGAGAATCCAACAAGGCCATATATTCCTCAAATTCCTTGATTGTTGCAGCCTTATATGTAGCCTTGAATTTCCAACCTAAATCAGTGGCATTTCCCCTAAATTTGGGGACAATATTACGACGCAAGTGCTCAACACAATAGCCATGCCTAGCATGAGGGAAGATCCGTTTAGCAGCACTAATTATACCTTTATGCATGTCAGATATAATGTACATATCCTCACGAAATGTTAGAGATTCGGACAATTTAGAAAAAAACCAAAGCCAAGACATTTTAGACTCAGTATCACAAATTCCAAAGGCTAACGGAACAATTTGGTTGTTGGCATCTTGGGCACAAGCTGTGAGAAGTGTTCCTTTGTAGTACGCCTTCAAAAAGGATCCATCTACAATTAGAATAGGTCTACAAAAATTCCATGCCTCCATCCAAGGTGCAAAAGACATGAAAAATACTGGAAGACATCATTCATCATCTCTAATAAGAGAAAAAACAGAATGTGGATTTGCTTTGTCAAGCATATAGGCCATCGAGGGTAAAAGTTTATATGACTCGGCATCTGATCCGAATTGTTTTTGCATTGCAGTCTTTTGAGCTTTCCAAGACTTCTTGTACGACATGGAGATGTCATGCATGAGACTCATGTCAGCACATATCTCATTTGGTACATACGGCTTTCTAGAAGCCTCCAAGAACTTATTCAGTTAAAACTAGTTATTATGCTGATCTCTTTTCTTTTCCTTATTTCCGTGAGGATGTGGAGGCAAGAGGTTGCGGCGGCTCTTGTCAAGTGAAGTGCTGAAATGAAATGAAGGGTGTGGGGGCTCTTTAGGCTTCTTTTAATTAGGGCGGAAGTGGAGTGTTGAAATTACGGCTGAATGCAACTTTGAATTAATTGAGGTCATATTTAGGGAAAGAAAAAATAAAGTCATATTTTGGAAAATGCAAATTCACTAGTAATATTAATACCATTTTTTCTAAATAGTAATACAATTTTTGGAATGTCTTTATTTGATATTTTCTTTATTAATTATTTACTACAGTTAACTATTTAAAGGAGTAATTGTAATTGGTTAAAAAGAACAATTTTGTACCTGTAATTTGATAAGTTAAATTTAGTGCTTTAAAATTGGTGGTTCAATGTTAATTAATTTTAAGCACCAACCGTTCAAAGAGGTGGAGAGGTGTTCAGAGCTAGAATATATTTATATAGCACATGAGTGTGCTCATTATGTAGCACACTAGAGTAAATAGACTCTAGTAAATAAGAGTCTATTCATAACAACGCAAATTCATTGTAGCGGCACTGCAACATTCACGTATTTCAAAATTTGAAAACTACCAAAACTAAATTCTCTAATTCATTAAGAAAAACAGACACATTATCTCATTTTTCGGTTTTGCATACGATTTGGTAAATACATTTTTTGTTTTCCTTTCTCCAGTTTTCAACAAACTTTTTCGGTAAACATGTTTTTTGTTTCCCTTATCGGGTTTTCCCGTTTCTAGAAAACTGGGCAATATCTCAATTAATAAATAGACTCTTATTGGTTTTATAAATACTACGCTGGGAACAATCGGGACCAGCTGGTTTCGGTCCGAACTTTCCTATACCCAGGACCAAGTATCCTACTTGGGTTGTACTAGTTCAGTTCCACTCCGGACTAATGTTTTCAGAGTTGAAAATGGAAAACAAGAAAATCAAAACAGAAAATTGGAAATAGAAAAAAAAAACTAGAAACTGAATAAGAAAATTAGAGAATGGAAAATGGAAAAGAAAACAGATAAATATTTCTAGGTGACAACCAGTGGCGGAGCCAGAGTTTTTTTGAAGCGGGGGCGTACTGAATGCTAAGAATTTAGTGTGTTGCTCAAAATATAATAAAAACAATAAAAGCGTAACACATTAGCACAAATTTGTTCTTTACATTAGCACAAAAGCGTAAGGATCAAATCCTAGTGCGACTAGGGCGGCATGGATGTTGCGCATTGCAGGGACGAGGTAGCCCATAGATGTCGTGTCCTCGGCGGTGATGACCTCATTTCCGACGGCGATCCCGGTGAACAAATTAGCCGCCCTTAGTAGATCAATCATACGGGTTTTAATTTGTTCAAAATGTTGTATATATAATAACTTCATGCTGAAAAAAGAAGTGAATTAAATATATTATAAGTAGTAGTACTTAAAAAATTGCCCGAAGCGGGGGCACTTGCCCCCTCTTGCCCCTCCCCAGCTCCTCCACTGGTGACAACTCCAGTACCTTTTTAAAATATGGGGTACCGTACCTATCATTCATTTGATTGGACCACATCACTATATCATTTTTAATTTAGATTTAAATAATTCAACTGCTACATTCTCATAGGTCCATGTGGACAAAAGTATGGTACCTTATGGAAACCATAGAATCTACCATATTTCTATTAGTAAACTGGGGTTTACTAAGTTAGGAAATACATGCTTCAAACTATTGATGCATAATGAGTTCAAGTTAGGAAATACTATCTCTACCAGAACTGGAGTTTCATCAAGTTTTTAGTCTGTTTACAAATATGATAGGAAATCTGTGTTATATACGGAGTAATATATTTAAGAAATTTTCCGATATAATCACATAAATATACTTTCCTGCCTAAACTTGATATCATTTGATACAACATTTTGAATGTACAAGCAGGCACAAAAAAGCTTGGGCAGCAGACAGCCAGACACCGGTGTTCTAATAGTTGATCCTAAAAGTAGTGATGTTAATCATACAAATGATGATTAGGGACAAAATTAGGGAATAATAAATTGATAGAGAAGAAGCCGAAGGAGAACCGTTCTGGAACTGAAACGAGTCGACGGCCAACGGCATATTCTCCTGGTCGGGGCTGCATTTTGACTCCGTCAACGGCTGCCCACTGTACATCAACGCCCGCAACACCGCCGAAACCGTCGGGATGTACGCCGTCTTGTTTCGCGCCAGCAACCACGTCAACCCTATCAGCTGGCAGTCCTGATTTAACATCTTGGATAAACGGCCGTTTTCGCCGTTTCGAGCTTTTTGTGTCCCGTTTTTATCCCCGCCTTTAAGCTGCATATGTGAAGAAGAGTTATCAATAACAGGATGATTTCGGAAATTTGCATAAAAAAGTTGACTCAAATTACGATATTGACCTTCTGGAGAGCTCCGAGACACTGTGTACAGCCGGAATACGAGGAGGCGCGGCATTTGTGTTCGAGATCCCTAACCGCGGCGGTGGGTTTGACTTCGCCGGCGGCGGAGATGTTGAACGCGGCGGGGCACTCGAGGGAGCTGATCTGGTGGAGGCGGATGCCGCAGAAGCACAAAACGGTGTCGCACGTTTCGTTAATCCGGCCAACATAAACGCTGCGGCGCTGGAGCGAGTCCTGGAGCGAGTCGGCGCACTTCTGGTTGTCGAGCGGCTCCGACGGCTGGATACTCGATATCGCAGACGGCGCCGGCGCGGGGATGACCCGGAGCGCCGAGTGCGCGTAAGCCGCGTAGAACCACGCTGACAATACCGGGCAGCACCGTCTCCGGTCGAGATCCTCCCGGCAGGCGGCTTTCACGCCGCTGAAAAGCTCCTCCGACAAGTCAAGCTTACACAGCTGCGATTGCGATTGAACCGGAGACGCCGGAACAGTGTTTGAATCGGCAAACGAGCCAAGGCAAAAGCAGAGCATGACAGCGATTGAGAGGAAGAGTTTGCCCTCCATCTTCGTTGACTTTCTAGAGATTTTTACACTCTTTTTGTTTACAGAAAATCGTATTACAAGTTCAAAGATATAATCATCAAGAAGTGGGTAGAAGATGATGAGAATAAGAAAAACAGGGAGTGTCAGAGAGAGGAGGAAGCAACAACGATAATAATCAAAAAGATGAAAGAAAGTGCCTGGATCTGGGGGTGGATGAGTGGAATATGTATTCATCCAAGAACAAAAGAACAGCCATGTCAAATCTATCTCATGGGTGAGATCATCCAATATTTTAGACACTGACCCGCTGGAATGTCCGCTTCTGGGTAAAGTTTTGTAGCTTTTCAAACGAGCAAATAGCTCTCATTCACGGACTATTCCAATCTTAAATGTACTCATTTGAATTATGTTATTCCAAAAAAAAAAAAAGATGACACCCGTCTTGAGGGCCCCCAACACCGACCAGACAACATGATGAGAGGATATAAATTAGACTATAATCACAATCTGACATATAGAGAGTGGGGCTCCGTCCCCAATACTTGCAGAGACCCTCTATTGAGTAACCTCTCATCGCAGTTGCAGGGAGTCGAACCCGGGACCTAACTCTTGTAGCACTCCCTCGCTACCAGTTGAGCTACGCCCACCGGTTGAATTGTGTTATTCCAATCCAATCCAAACAACTTTTTCATTAAATATGTGGATTTTGATTTTGAGCACTTAATTGTCTAAAATTACAAAAAGTAAGATTAGAGTTACTTTTTTACTAGATTTACTAAAGTTACTCTAGGAAATCATTTTAGTTATTTTTCCATATAATCTTTTCTTTTATTTACTAATAAAATATATTTTAAATATTTTTTTATAAATCATCCGATTCATCCACTTAAGCTAAAACATCATAAAGTTCGATAGAATCAGCATACACAACCGATTTGAGTATTATCAAACGGGCTTTTAATTTTTTTTGCTTATAACGAAATTGTCTCATAAGCAAAAAACGAAATTGTCTTTTGGAAAAAAAAAATACGAAATTGTCTTTCTTTGATTTCGAGAAATGCTTTGCAATTAAGATGATAGGTTCTTTAAGGTACTGTTTTTTGAGGTATTGTTCTAGAATACTACTGAAATAAAATTAATGAGTAAAAATATAATTCAAGTTATTATTATTATAAAGTCATTGTTATTATTATAGGAATTATTCTGTGTAGGACTAAAAATAAATTTAAATGCACAAATAGAATTACATTTTTTATTTCATACTATCCTCCGTTTTTATTTAGATGCAACATAGAGAGTGGGCACACTAATTAAGAAATTTGTGACTTTCCTATTTTCTCCCTGTGAGTTGGATAAAGCAGAGATAACGGAGTAATAATACAAGTACAAGCAGGAATCTTAATGCCTAATTTTTCACGCGTTGAGAGCTGCTCTCCCTTCAACCTACTAGGTTCTCATGAATCATTTCCGCTGCCGAAGCATTCCTTAACCTAGTTCCGTCCTCAGATTTCAAAGTGGAAGGATGTTAGAGCCCAGAAACTCCAAAAACGAGTTTAGGAGTTGCGAAGTTTACTGTTCATGGACGATTTCCGATTATTGATTTGAACCGGATGATTGTTTCTAGATGACTGGATTTCAAGAGTGGTTTGGGATGCACCATCTTCAGTCGCATCTACCCAACTGTCCGCTGGAAGACGTGCTCACCGGGAAGCCTGAAACCACTGTTATCGATTGGGAGGTTTTACTGTTCACCATCGGTTTGCAGATTTAATTTTCTTCATCTCCATAGGTGAAGAACGTGGTAAGAAGAAGATAAAATAGGTGGTGAGATGGGAAGACAGCTGATGTCCGTGAAGATTAGGAAAGAGAAATGTAAAGTGGGATTGGGTAGATTAAAAATGGCAGGTTCGAATTAGGTAGGAGAAACAAATAGGAGAAACGATGAGTTTTAAGTAGGGATATTAAAGTCATTTGTAGGTATTCCTTTTTACCTAAAAGAGTAATGTTGCATTTATTTTGAAACTTCCCAAAAAGGAAAGTGTTGCAACTAAAAAAGAACGGAGGGAGTAGATAGGATTTGGGATTACGATTATACACTCATACGGATTATTTGATAACATTAAAACCCTTATTTTCTAATTCATCTCTTCACGCTTGCACCTCATACTTGCGGCTCTCCTTTTGTTCATCTCTCCTCTGTGGTTTTCTCTGTCGACGACAAGGGCTGCCAATGTCATACGTAGTAACATAAAATTATTGAACTAGTGTCAACATGAAGTTCCTACATCGCTCGCACACGAAGTTGTGTGCGTGCTTATAAGCACAGCCTGAAGCCTTCATTTGTAGACGCATTTTAAAGTCATGAAGTATCAAAGTGGATAATATCCACAAACTATTTATAACATGTTATCAACACGATTCTCGCGATGGAAGGGTATGTTATGAACTTGAAGTTCCAACATTGCTCGCACATGAAGTTGTGTGCGTGCTTATAAGCAGGGTCTAAAGCATTTACTTGTATACGCGTTTTAAAACTGTGAGGTCCTAAAATATCAAAGCGGACAATATCCACAATCTATTCTTAGAACTATTTAATACAAAGTAATACTACGTATGTGTTTATTTGAGGTCCACTAATTGTTATGGATACTTAAATTAATTATAATTTGTATTATTATACTCTTTTTTTAATTACCTCTTAACCTTTTATTATATCTTTTAATGATAATGCTAATATTCTTGATTGATATGAGATTTGAACCTTTTATTTCTTCTTTGGGTGATGAAAAGTAATGTGATCACTACTTGATTGTATTATTATACGGAGTACTTGTTTACTTAAACAATAAAACACGTCCTAGTGTAAAGTTCAGGTAGTAACTAGTAAGTCTAGTCATCCAATCAAAGTATGGAATAAACAGCTGTATGGGACCTGTTTGGTAAGAGTTACGAAGAGTTTGATTTGTGGATGAGTCCACGATTTTCCTAAATAAAACAACATTTTGTATAATCGCTATTCAACATTAGGTTAAACTAAATAAACAGTTACGCATATTTTAAGTATTTTTATTATTTATTCTACTGACAAGTATTTAAATCATTTCAAGCATTAGCAAAAAGAAACTTTAGGACTTTCATACGTAGTACTCGGTATATGGTAAGTGAAGTCAACACGAAAGGATTTGATTAGTTTTAGCCTGAAGTAAATGGCGGAAAGATAAACGGAAAGACCGTCCGGCAATTGTACAAGAAATGAGGATTTCTTCGCGCAATTATTCAGCGCATCGGTAAACTTTGACAAACTAGAGATGACTTTGCAAAGTACTCCGTAGATCATTTTCAATACACTAAAACTCAAAAGGTGTTAAAATTGACGAAATGTGCGTAAAAGTGATTAATTTTGGAGGAGAATCGTTTCCCTAACGTTACATCAAAATGCAAAAAGCACAAAATGTCAATCAAACGAAGAGCCAAAGTGAATAATTTAACTATCCATGTAATTACAGATCGAGAGAAAAATGCTTCACGAATACTCCATTACTCCGTATATAACAAGCGAAAAAAAAGATGGACTCGAATCGAGAAATGAGATACTAATTTCAACCGATTGAACTGTATACAATTTCACTTAAACTATACCGAGTATATGAGAAGTTACCATTCAAGTTAACATTATAACATTTCTTACATTCCTAATTAGTAAGAATTGATTTGTAACTAACGAAATACCAAATACCTGACAAGGGAGATAACAAAAAGAGCAATAGTTTGACCGGCTACCTGTCATACTTGAGCAGTGTCCAAAACAATGTCATACTTTTGCCTCCATTTCTTTTCAACCACACATTCACACTTGGTGTAACACGCCCGTTTTTTTCATTTTGGGCCAACAATTAATTTTCGCACCGATACTTGTTGGGCAAACAAAAAAAGTTATAGATAGATAATTGAATCGGTATGTAAAATGATACTTCCTCTAGTCCTTATTATTAAAGTTCTCACTTTCTTTTTCGGGATGTCTCTTATTTAAGTTCATACTTCCATTTTAGGAAACAAAACAGTGCAAAATAGTGTCAAACAATGTCCAAATAATGCACTCCACAGTAAAGTCAAATTTATTTTCTTAATCTGTGTGAACTCAAACTGGGAACTTTAATAAAGACCGGAGGGAGTATGTACAAATAACATTTTTAAATTTCTTTTTCATTCTATCTACCTTACAAATCACTAATCAAACCTTACCTTTTACCTACTCTATCTTGCTCTCACCCCCCCCCCCCCTCTCTTTCTGTCTCTCTCTTCTAATGAATATGAATTTTGTCTGCGGAATTATGTAACAACTAGGTTTCAAGCCTGTGCGATGCACGGACAGTACATAATTTAGCTAATTTTAAATATGATTTTTCAGAATCAACTTATTTTACTGAAATATACTCAGTCTACATATAGAGTTTATTTGATAATAGTAAAATTGGCGGAATCAGCTTATTAGACTGAAATTGATTAAATTGTGGTTGAATGGGCTGAATAGGCAGAATCTCTCGAATAATGAAAAAATTAAAATACATTCTACTTGTAAAGTAGAGAAACAATTACATGAAAACATTTAAAATGTTCTTTTACATAAGCATCTCAACTAAATATAATTGTGGTTAACCCGCTTTTAAAGAATTCACAGAGAATTCATATCCTCTAAATTACTTTATTATGCACCTCAATTTTTTTTTCATATTCCTCATTGAACTTGGTATGAACTATGTAGTACAAATTTTTAATAGTAAGATCTTACATTTGACTCATTATTTCGTCACGTTGAAAATATAAAAAAATGAGTTTTTTTTTGCATTTTATTCATTATTTCGTCACATTGAAAACGATCTTTAATTGTTATGAACGTCTAGATTACTTTTCTAAGCATTTCAAAATAATATTTTTCTAATATTTCTCATTCAACTTGGTATGAAATACATATTTTTAAATTTGAATAGTGAGGTCTTACATTTTACTCATTATTCTGTCACATTGAAAACGTCATTAATAAGGACGTTTATAATTGAATTAAAACTTTCGGGGTTGATTTGGTCTGAAGTAATATGATTTGGTAGATGTCTGTTTTACATTTTATGTGTCCTATCATTATTAAATTTTGATCTGATCTGATCTAGTCTGAAAATGAAATCAATCTAATTAAAAACATCCTAAGAGTATAAATACAATTAAGAATTTTTAAACATACAAAGATTTCCTAATTTGGATTATGAATTTATTTCAAAAGTGATAGCATATTAAAATTGTATTAAAAACATCCTAAGAGTATAAATACAATTAAGAATTTTTAAACATACAAAGATTTCCTAATTT